AGGGGTGGTACGGCAATCTTTAAAAAATACCATAAAAATGCCCTATTTTCGTGACAATAAGCTATCCGCCCAAAATATTTTCAGCGTATTCATAACTCCTTAGGAGCTACATAATGCAAGCAGTTTCAACGCAAAAACGATTGAACACTTGGTGACCTTCCCTCATAAGTGAAAAATCTGATATAAGTCGTACGTTCGAAAATTATACTATCTCTACGAAAGAAAAACAAAACGATACCAAAACATATTTGACTTCGTAGAGAGGTGTTTGCTCTTTTCTTTTCAGTCCTTTTAACGATAACGTAAGCTTCAAAGAAATCTTGGATAAAATTAGCTGTCAAACGCTCATACTTGCAGCAAATCTTTCTAATAAAGTTAAGATTTTTTTACGGATATTTTCGAAAAAGCATGCATTGAAGGATAGGAGTTCTAGATCTTATGAAAAATGAGTAAATGTCTGCAGAGAAACTCATATTATTCACAAGTTGTCACGTTCCTAACGAAAATTCCATCGAATTTTTTTGAAAAATCTGGATATGCTTAGAAAAAATTTAAGATAGAGGTCTGTAACCTCAAGAGTCGTCTACAGAATGTACGATTTAGTTTTCAAATATGCAACCTCACTCAACAGTTCTTAAACTAAAATATATGCAATGAAAATCAATCTTATTTTTCGGGTAACGTCCGTAACGCTAACTTTTCAATTATAGTATTTTTGAACAAGTCTATACAACTGATTTTTTCGATGTATTTGGTGTGGGTGGGTGTGAGTGTGGGGGGTGGATGGGTGTGGGTGTGGATGCGACCTTCTTGATCTGAAGACTAACATACCCACACCCACCCTCAGAAACTTTAACAATATGATCTATGTGTTATGATCTACGGTGTAATCTAAGAAAGAATCAAAAAATATTTTCGTTCTGGTAAATTAACCTGTTTTTATGGTAGTTCATTGGAAGATTTAGAATGAAACATCTATTTATAAAATGCTGTTCAGTATGACGAATGTAGATTATTTCTACATAAGTTTGCGAGAAATAAGTTCTAGTAGTCTTCAGGTGCAAAAATAATCTTGATGAACATACCCTTTTCAATTCTCGATCTAAAAACAATTCATATTTACGATCCATTCGTCTATTGTATGCCTAAATGATAGAAAAAACCTTTTTCGTAGTTGATGTCAAATATCTCCCTTCACTTGGATACGTTGAACACGATTCGAATACATTTTGTCCCAATGTTCCAGTTGTCCTCGGAATTCAGCTTGTCTTGCCTGGTCGATTTCCTGAATGCTATTGGTGAACAAATAAATGAAGTCATTTAATAGAAAAAATTAAATATTTTCATCTACTTGTCAACCATTTCTGCAATAAACTTTTGTCGAAATTCTTTAAATTTTTCGGATGGTAAATTTCGAATCTTGTACTCTTGGCGTTCTATGGAAGATTGATCAGTAGTCTTGTTGTTAGTTAGTTTGGAAATCTGTATTTTCTCAAATGGATATAGAAAGCAAAAACAAGGGAAAAACTACAAACAATGCCAAGATGGCGCATATGCTTGCGCACGCGTTTATCAGTAAAATGATCTCCGATTGGGTTTTGTTCCATAGTTCTTCGATAAGGCTCGAGTGGTCTGAAAGAGATATCGATCAGACGTATCAAAGAACAGAAGGCAAGACTCACGAAGATGGTATTAACTGTTGTTTATTTGATTTTTGTTTTTCAGCCATAGAAATGTTTATCTAAAAGTCACTTTGATATGTTATAGTATCAGTATCAAATGTGAATATAATAAAATTTTAATGTTTAGCAACAACAATTAGTACAACACAAACAAGATTGTTCAACATTAGATTGTAACTCTTTTCCCAGTTTTTGGATTTCCTTTTCACTCCCAAATCGAAAGCCGTAGAGTTCTGTTTTCATGTAACTCATTTTATCAAAAGGTGTTATCTTGCTTTGAGTTTCATTTTGTGTCGTTGCTGAAAAAGAATTCGAAGACGAGCTTTTACTGTATTTTGGCTTGTCTGGTCCACTGCTGCTGTTCGTCTCTTCATTATTTTTCGCATGTTTATCATTTGTAGATGTAGGCGACATCTCTTGTTGCGGATTGTTATGACTCTTGAAATCTTGCGCTGGATCATGAATAATACCAGGAGCTCGAAAGAAGTCATACAGAAAGAACTGTTTGATCATTGGAGTTGGATGCTTAACATTATTAGAACATGATACTGTCGTCTGAGTAACGTCTGTTGTTGTGATACTGGCTGCTGTGGCATCCTATTCATATTAGATTACATAGAATTTCACTCAGTATAGGCTGCGGCAGTACAACAATGTGCAAATCATATATTTTCCTTTGTGTATGTATGTCAACAGTTATGGCAGATGCTGTGCAGCTGCTTCTACCAATTTTTCACTCTTTGTCATCTTCTATGTCGTTCTTCAAATATTCAAGTAAAGAGCACAGTTTAAAAATGAAAGGAAAATAAAATCTGCAACATTGTCCTAAACAGACGCATCACAAAATGCTTTTGTTTTCGTATTTTTCAATATTTATCTGATTCTTTCATATTATATTACTGCTTTTTCACATTTGAATTATGATTTTGTTTTCTACAATCCAGGTGTGGGTGTGAATGTGTGGGTTAAGGGAAAAGTCACATATGTACCCTTACTCACATGCACCAAATGCAAATGTATTGCATCTTCGGTAAGAGTTTTCCAAATTCTCGCAATCCTCTCAATATTCAAGCCCATTAACTGCTTATTTTTTATTATCAGCATTTCATTCAATGCTTTCCATGACGATTGACCGGAATTGAATAAAAAATACAGTGTCTGCATCGATTGCATAAGGATAGAATAGTTTGTCAAAAACATGCTCTTCCAAGTATTTTCTTCTAAGAGATCCAAATGCACACAAGATGAAATTTAACGTTTTCACATTGTTGAGGTCATTCAAATATACCTATCTGAAGTTAATCCAGATTGGTTTGTGAACTAAGCACCTCATAGGCCAGTTTCTCGAACCTGTCTATAACTTTCAGCAACTATATAAAAAAATCGAACATCTCCTAGAGTTACAGACAACTATGTTTCTATCACATTCGAGTATAAAAAATGTGACAATTGTGATTGTGAGTGCCGGGAAAACTGAATTTTGAAAAAGCCTCTTTAATAAACTGCACGACTAACTAGATACGTTCTCTTTGTACCATGTTTTACTTCTCGTATTCTAGGCTTTCAAGCACAAAAAAGACATTTTCCTCTAGCTACTTCCCAATTCCTAAGTTATTTACTTCGTACTGAAAATGTCTTCTATTTTAGTATCAATGATAATATGCGCAGTATCATTTTTTTTTGTATAGAATTCGTCCTGTAAAATACATTAATTTGTCTCTTTCCTAAAAGCATCGCGTGTTAATATCTGTGATGTTATTGTAACGTACTAACCGACAATTTTACCTGATTATTTGCGGAGACTATCTGTTTCTCTTGTGGATCTGGAATCAATGGTAGAATTAGGTTTGGGTCGTCATGAATACATTTTGGTATGCGTGTCGTAGGGCCACGAGCACGGCAAACAAGATGAACTAGCAAGTCCACCAATGAATCTTGGTCATTTGCGTTTTCCAATTTCAATGTTTGTATACTTTCATCAGTAACAGCTGAAACAATGTAACTCACACCAAACGTAGCTACCCGCTCTGCAGGACGATTTTTGTCTATTGGATCAATGAAAGGTATTAAACGCTTACAACAAGAACAGCAACCTCCATTGACATCCTCATATTCCTCTTGCAGTCGACCCAACTGTTCTCTGTATCGATCAGCCATATGTCGGGCTACGCGACGAGCAACTTCGCGTTGTTCAACTATGTCACCACAATCACCGATAATTTTCAATTTATCTTGTATAAGCTGGTAGTCTTTGTCTTCAAGCGTTTTGGCAATTGGACCAGTTGCTGCTTCGAGTACCGAACCAATATGGGGCACAGATGAGGCTCCCTTGGATAGGATGGAAATAACTGTTCCGGCTCTAGAGGCATATATAGAAACTTCTGAAATGTCATGGTATAGTCCCAAGGGGTGGATGTGGTGGATGTGACTATGGAGTGTCAGATTGCATGCGGGTGAGTGTGAGGGTTTGTGTATGGATGTTCTTTTAGTTTATCCCATATCCACAATCATCCAACGGCCACAGGTACCTAACAACTACAATTACACTATACACGCAGCAAACCCTCATAACCAAGAAGAAAAAAGCATACTTCTGTTCTTCTGAAGTACATAGAAGTACCTAATTACCCAAAAGTATAGAGACTTAATGAGAAGTGTCAAAAAGTATCAAGAAGTATCGAGAAGTGTATATATGCGTTTACAAGAAGATGAGAAAGTTTTCGTCCACTTAAGATATTTGTTAAAAAACAGAAACAAAGAAACCCGTAAGAAAGGAATCAGCACTAATAATAATATTTTCTCCCGGCAGTTGTTCAGCATTATTCTTTTATCTTTATTGTGTCAATAGGCATATTATGTTATATCATATCTTTACTTTCTCAGCGTGTTCTTGTGCTATCAATGATACGTAGTGTTCACAATCGTATTACTCTTACGTGTATCTGTACATGATGAAACCATGTTCTCTTTCTGCGTTATGTACTTCTCATTCTATATTACTGTTCGCTTCCATATTATATGTATTGCTCTCATCTATGTGTTCTTTCTCTATTTTTCATCCATATCTGTTGATGTCCCAGGAGGCATGCCATCTCTTCTAATCATGCCAATCGATATTACGTCATACGGTATTAACCAGCACATTGTCTCTAGGTAATTAGATGAATATGGTTTACATAAGCAGATGAACATCATTTCAACATCAGCTAGTGGTTAATTATATATTGTGTGATGTTATTTTATAGCTTTTCTCTCCCCCCCCCTCTCTTCTATTGTACTATCTATTCTCTCTTCTCTTCCGTCCTTCTCATATATAAGCTCATGTTGTGTGTAATAGTTACATTTGGATGTAGCGCACAGTCGAATAAACATCATGCTCACAATGAGATCAAGGATATTAATGTGTCTCTCCATTTCTGATAACGAAACTATATATATATATATTTTTTCGTTACATTTATTACAGATGAAGTAAATACCAGGTCTCTTTCTACGTATAATTTTTCTTTCTTTTTCTGTTGGTTATTATTCGAAGGAGAAATAAAGCGACGTTTTCCTCTTAATCGTTATGTAAAAAGTGATAGTAAAAAGATGTTTGATACTTACTCTCCTACTATAAGTTCTACTTTCGTCATTTATTTATTAATTTTTTAAATAAAAATCTATATAATAAAGAAAAACTAACTATATTTCTTTTAAATCTTGAATAAAAGAAATATCTAACGCTTGATAGAAGCAGCTCACAGAAAATAATTCGAAAAGAGTGGCTAACCTGAGTATATATAAACGCGATTTTTTCACGTAGCGGAAATGAGAACATTTATTTGGTTTTTTGAAATCGATATCAAACGCGATTTTTCACGGCGCGATAAAATGTGATTCCTACAAACTGAAGTCACAGTCTGATTTCCACGGCTTCGAAAAAACGCGGTAGAACGTGACTTCTGAAAGACTACATAGTATGTGGTTTTTGAACGCCGGTATCAAGTGCAGTTTCTTTGAGGCTTTCTTAAATCAGCACATCTGACTCAGGTGTTGTATGACAATTGGTATCTTGAAGATATGCGGTATGAAGCCCTTCGAACGGCGACGTAGTAAACTTTCTTAAGTCCTATTTCCAGAAAGTCGCTTCGCAAATGTCAGATTAATTATTTGAATATTTCAAAAATTTATTGAAAGATGTGGATCACCAAATTCGAAGTATCGTTACGGGTTCTTTCAAGAGATGAATTAGGTTCGGCTTGGTAACCACCAGAACTGAGCCAAACTGATTTTGATTTGGTTCAGTTTGAACTTTTCCAAAAATAGAGTGATTCGGTTCGTTTTAGAATTTTTCATTTGGTGAGTCCCATTTCCAGAAGATATGAACCTATCTTATCCCAAGTTTCTTCTACCTCAATATGCACTGCGATTTACGGAAATCGTGATTTCTCACCTGAAAACGCTGTCCCGTGAAACCGCGATTAACCACGATATAGAATACCGCAGTTTAGATATAGGAAACCTTGACTTTCTGAAACCACGTCTCATCACGATATATAATAACGCAGCCACAATCATTTTCATCGCAGTTTATGAGATCGTGTCTAATCGCGGTGCAGAATGTCACTGCCTGGCTATAGGACACCGCGATCTTCCAGGTACACATCGTTGTCCTGGCAACAAATTTTGATGCGTTGAAAAAAGTTGCGGTCGATCGCAGTTTTATTCAAAAATTCTTTTTATGGGAAATATGCATGTCGAGAACTATGGAGAAATATTTAGAAGTACGCGGAAGTACAAACTATGATGGAATACGAGACAGAATGAAGTAGAAAGAAGTATCTAGAAGTGTAGAGATGTATGAAGTACAAGAAGTATGGAGAAATGCAAAGAAGTACGAGGAAATAGAAGTAGTAGAGAAGAGTAATTTTCCCCCTTGCTCTTATTAGTATTCATACACACCGCCGTCCATAATCCCACCTACATCAGTTCCTGAAGTCACACCGTATATCCTTCCACATCCATCTATATGATGCTCTTGTAATCAATAGAAAATCTGTTTATGATCTTTCGGAAGTAGATTTTGTTCGAGAGAAAGTGATCGGGAGAAATTATCGCGTTAGATTTGTGAGGGGAGCAGCATTTGTGTTACTCAAAAAGAATGTGAGAAAGATTTTTTATGAACGATAAAAATTTTTTGTGAATGAGAGTATAATGGTCAATTGTGAGCGTAGGATCAGACTATTGCTGTTTCTTAAAAATAGAATGATCCGAACTGTAGGGAGTAAAAAACAATTTTTACATCTGTTCTTGTACTACAACACTTGAATTCTACAAATAGTTTGATAGGCGTATGATTTTCTTTTCAGTGAATTCGAAGAGATTTTTTTCTTTACTCCAAATACAACAGTAAAAGATAAGCGCTCACTTGCTATACACGCCTTTTAAATTGTGTACCAAGATATTCTTTTTGCATCCCGCAACAGCAAATGCCGCAAGCACATTTGCTAGTTGAATACGAAATTTTTTGTAGAACCACAAGCGATTTTTGTTAACATCATTTTTAAAGCTTTTCTCGTCTTCGAAGATTGAATCACCGGTAGAATCAAACCTTTGTATTTTTTCCACAGTTTCCTCCGATGGATCAGCACCCATTTCATCCAAATACCTTGGGTTCTTGATCATTTGAACAAATAATTTCCACATGTTCCGGGAGTCCGGAAAATCAATGAGCATTTGATAAAAATTTTGAGCAGCTTCATGTGCCAAAAGGAAGTCATTTTGCCTTTCTTGACATAAAGCGAGAAGGGCATGAGCTTCAGGACACAGATGCTCCACATCGATTTCAACAGCTGCTCTGTATTCTTTCACTGCCTCGCTATAACATGTCATGTTCGCCTTGCCTACTGTTCCTAGCGTTTTAGTATCTTCGTGAGGAGATGTGCTATTCTTGCCAAGTCTGTTTAGTGCGTCCTGAATCCAGCCTATCTTCAAGTGACGTACAGATGTTTCACCTTTTCGAAGAAGCTCGAAATGTAAACGACGTAAACGGTCTTCCAGAAGAATTACTGTCTCAGAAATTGATCGTCCCAGCTGCATAGCACGACGACGATCACGCAGTGCTTCATCCAGTTTCCCTAGTTTTTCAAATACTTTAGCACGTTCATGCAAAATATCGGCATCGTTTGGTGCACGGTTATGCGCTTTAGTCAAAGTACGCAGAGCTTCTTTGAACTCATTCTCTAAGACTTGCATCATCCCTAACCGAAAGGCGGCTCGTGCATGGTTCCGATTAGACTGCAGAGCTTTTTCGAATAGGTTTCGCGCATCATCTTTTCGGTGGCACTCATACTGGCAAAGACCCTGATGAAACAGACACTCCGCTTTTTCGCAAGGGTTTGTTGCATCATTAGACGCTTGTTCGAAGTATTTGAAAGCTTTCTCGTATTCTTTTTGTTCAGTAAGACAGAGAGCACGATAATACATTTTGTTATACTGCGTATTTTGAGATTCAGTAGACGTTTCTGTTTCGATCACTTTTTGAAATATCGAAGAATCATTTCTATGTATGCAGCTCTCTTGCTTATCAGCTTCGTCGTCATTTTCACCCTCTTCTGTTTTTCTGCCAGTATTTTCATGCATGTCGTCAGGATCGTCTCGTTTTTCAGTCAAAGCTATACGGATTCTTTGATGGCAATACTCAAGATACGAGTCTGTGGCCTGAGTCAAATTGATAGCTTTCTCGATGTCCCGAAGCGCTCTCTGCATTAGCTGCATTGATTCATAAACTAGTCCTCGACTAATATAGCCTTTAGCTATATCCTTATCACTTAGCTTCGATTCTTCACAACGATTGGCGCGATTGATGAATTCCGAGTAGTCTCGTACGGCCTGGTCATAATCATGAAGCATGTGATGGGCAAATGCGCGTTTATAGTAGATCATAAACTTTTGAACCTTCGTTGGAGTCTGTGGATCATCATAATGTGAAAGAGCATCAGAAAAGTCGTCAGCAGCCAATTGATTGTGTTTTGGGCCACCGATTTTCAAATGAGCATTACCGCGAATATAGAGGACATCGGCTGTTAGAGGTTCGATATCTGAGAATTTTTTAATGGCCTGTTTTAAAGAGTCCACCGTGCCTTTTTCTGCCAATCCGCAGCCTTGTTCCAGGAGAGAAATACTTGGTTTTGTCAGCTAAATAGAAAAATGCTATGAATAAGGCTTATTCATCGATACCGCCTTCATATAAGAGATAAACTAAGATGCTCAAGTATAATAGTTGATGATCAGGGCAGAAGCAGAGATCAAAATATGTAAAAAAGCTTTCAAGCAGTTCCTACAGAATTACGATGTGAAACACAATAAACTCATTTGATCGCCCACAACAATCCATGTTACATTTATTTTTATTCAAAATGGAATCACAGAAACAATATATTTAGATGTTTATCAAATCTTGGACCTCAATCAATGGAATGTATTGCAGCTGAACATGTTTAAATTTTAGGTTCCGAAGCGTCAGATCCTTTCAAAATAAAAAACACAAGCGTTTGAAGCCCAAGGATAGAATCAAAATATCCTAATGCTCAAAAATTTGGAAAGTGTTCAGCGCAACTTCTGTGAGGTCAAACAGTGATAGACGATGGAGGCGTCTTACTCAGAACTCCGCTGAATAATTACGCGTTGTCTCAAACGCTTCATCATGCATAAGCGCGCTACGCACCTCTTTCTTTGTGCGCACTGTGAAAGAGTTTCATAGACACTAGTTTATTTTTCGAAATTATTGTAGCATGCTTCTAATCATGAAATTATAGTGCATGTGCTCCGCAAAAGTTTGAAAAATTTGTATGTTGTTGTGTTGTTTTT